GAATATATATATATATATATATATATATATATAATGTATAAGTTAGCAATAAGACAGTGAAACTGGTTTAAAAAGACAGGACACAAGTGCGAATGCAAAGAAATAAAGAAACTGTGTTTAAAAACAAAATCAATTAACATTAAAATCATAAAAATATATTTAAAAATAAATAAATTAAATACATCAATGTTGTAGGGTGCTTCCTTATGTCAACACCTTATTTAATTTTAAAATGATATTAAAATCAAAGAAATGTATTTAATGATATAAAATTAAAATTAAATTAAATTAAAATTATATCAAAAAATTACAAACACACAATCATAAAGAAAATGTACTGTATAAATTAGCCAACCAGATGGGATCTTGGGATGGAATGCAAGTGTGAATGTACTAAAATAATTTTACCCTGTTTGAAATAAAATCAAATGTAATTAAAAATAATAATAAAAAATTACTTAAAGGGTTAGTTCACCCAAAAATGAAAATTAGCCCATAAATTACTCATCCTCAAGTCATCCTATGTGTATATGACTTTCTTCTTTCAGACGAATCCAGTCGGAGTTATATTAAAAATTGTCTTTGATCTTTCAAGCTGTTTAATGCCACTCAGCAGGTGTTGCATTGCTTCAGTCCAAAAGAAGTTAAATAAAAAGCGCCCATCCATAAAACAAAGTGTCTCACACGGCTCCGGGGGGTGAACAAAGGCCTTCTGTAGCGAATCGATTAATTTTTGTAAGAAAAATATCCATATTCAAAACGTAATAATCACTTTAATGTAGCTTGCGCTCACTGTTGTACACAGAAGCAGCTCCGGGAGGAATTTTCATTTTTGGGTGAACTAACCCTTTAAAGAACCTGTTTCCATTATGAAGAATAAAGCTTCCATGGATGTTCTTCATGGAAGCAATAAAGAAGCTTTATTTTTAAGGTTGTAGCGTCGTCAAACGGACAGTCTGTTCTCAAACAGGCCCGAACCCAACCTGCAGGGGCTTCACACTCATTTTTAGGGGAACCTGCCGAATGGCTTTCAGCTGAGAGCACTACAGTCAAATCAGCCGAAATATTCAATCAGCAAACGTGCAAGTGTCACGAGACGTGCAGAACTTTCAGACCGACGTGTGTTTGGATTTGCATGGAAATGTATCTCATAGATTCCTATAGGCTCTCATCACAGGAGCGAATTGCTGACCCCGTTAAATTCAAAGGAGCACACAGCAGCCCATTCCCAAACACGACATGTGGACGTGCTGGGAATAAAATATGGAAAGGTTCAGCATCTGAGGCTAGACATCATCATTATTTCATGCGGTGACAATGCATGCAATTTACAGATGGTTTGCTTTGCACAGCACAGAATCTGTCAGGATCAAAACTTGAGCCTCACACATGACAGCAATGCATGGAAATGAAGTTTGATTTGAGGCAAAACAGCATCTGCATTAAATGTGTCCTTATTTCCTGGAATGAAACACATCCTATAGATCTATATGGGGTGGGACTGCTCAGCAATCCCGTGCAATTACTAAACTCTAAACAGTTAAACATGTTCTTCAGACTTACATGCACGTGGCGTTTATCAGCAGTCTTCAGTCTGAGATCAATCGATCAGTCTGAGCCGCTCAGCCGGTCCCGGCGCTGGAGACCCGCAGCATTTTCCTCCCGTCCTGCTTGGCTCTCTCTTCAGTCTTCACTGATGGAGTTGGAGTTTGTAGCGGCTCCGCACTAGTATCACTTCAGACTGACGTGCGCCTGAACCAATGGAGCTTCGCCTGCTGATGGAGCGCAACAGCGGCCCAGAAATGGGAGGAAGCGCAGGGTGATGTCATTGAGAGCCAATCAGCAGAGAGTTCGGTGAAAGCGGTTTAAAGAGACGGGACGCGACTCGAGTGTGAATGCACTGAAATAGCAGTAATGAATAAAGAATTAAAATGAAAAAGAATTAGAATTAAAATAATAAAGTAAAATAATTATACTGTTTAAAAATACAATTATACAATAAAGTAAAAATTATATTTTTTGTAAATGTATCAATGTTGGAGGGTCCTTCATTATGTCAACACCTTAACAGCAAAAATGTTAATATTTATAAAAAATAAAATGCTAACAGGAAAAGAATATATCATATAAATTCAGAAGATGGTGAAACTGGTTTAAAGAGACGGGACACAAGTGTGAATACACTGAAATAGTAATAAATAAAGAATTAAAATAAAAATGAAATAGAATTAAAATAATAAAATAAAATAATGATACTGTGTTTAAAATTAAAATGATACAATGAAGTAAAAATTATTTAAAAAATAAATTTAAATTAAAAAAAATGTTCAATGTTGGAGGGTTCTTCATTATGTCCACACCTTTAAAGCAAAGATTTAAATATTTATTAAAAATAAAATGCTAACAGGAAAAGTATATATCGTATAAATTAGCCAATCAGAAGATGGTGAAACTGGTTTAAAGAGACGGGACACAAGTGTGAATGCACTGAAATAGTAATAAATAAAGAATTAAAATAAAAATGAAATAGAATTAAAATAATAAAATGAAATAATGATACTGTGTTTAAAAATACAATTATAAAATAAAGTAAAAATTATTAAAAAAAAATTTAAATAAAAAAAACATTTTCAATGTTGGAGGGTCCTTCATTATGTCAACACCTTAAAAGCAAAAATGTAAATATTTATAAAAAAATAAAATACAGTAACGCTTTATTTAAGGTGTCCTTGTAACACATACTTCAAATTATAACAACAACAAATTACACATAATTACATGCAAGTAACTGTAAGACAAACCCTAATCCCAGCCATGTGGTAAGTACATGTAGTTAATTAATATTACTCAGCACTTAAATGTATTACACTGTAACTAGGACACATTAAAATAAAGTTTTTTATTATTATATTAATTTCTTTTTCATCATTTTTATTTTATTTTCAAACACTCTTTCATTATTCCATTGCATTCACACTTGTGTCCGGTCTCTTTAAACCCATTTTATACAATTTATTTATACTAATTTATACAATACTGTATATTCCTTTTCCGTTAGTATTTTAGGTTACACTTTATTTTAAGGTGTCTTTGTTACAGTGTAACTATACAGTTAAGTACTGAGTAATAGTAATTAACTACATGTACTTACTATATGGTTATGGTTAGGATTAGGGTTACTTGCATGTAATTATGCACAATTAATTGTTATTATAATAGAAAGTACATGTAACATGTGTAACAAGGACACCTTTAAATAAAGTGTTACCAAAGTAAATCATAAATGTTGTATGGGGTCCTCCCTTATGTCAACACCAAAAATTAAAATAGCTATTACAAATAAAGTACAAACATAAAGAGGAGAAACTTTGTGTAATGTGAAACTTGATACCATGTTTAAAAATAAAATCAAATATAAAAAATGATAAATAAATAAATAATGAAAAAAGACAACGTTTTTGGATCATTATTTATGTCAACACCTTAAAAATTAAATGTAAATATAAAAGAATATTATAATATAAAAGATAAATTAAAAATAAATAAATAAAATAAACATGTTCAAAATGTTAAAATATAAAATATGCTAAAATGTCAATATATATCAAAATATAAATGTTGTCTTTCTTATGTTAACAACCTAAAGGCAAAAATAGGCTAAAATAGTCATTCAAAAACACAGAAGGAGAATATTAGTATAATAACTGTATAAATTGTAATAATTTTTAAGTATGAAAATGTCAACATACAGATTCTGACAAACATTATCTAACACTAAACAGATAACTTAATGCATTAAAATATTATGAAACTATGAGTCATGTATCAACAACTCATATTTGAATGCACATCACCTACTCATCTGAACATTCAATAACATGAAATGACTTATTAATGAAGGTTATTATGTAGTGTATGCAAAATAGCACTGATTTGTCAGGGACTGACTGGTGTTGAGTGGAGTCCCATATAAAGCCCATGACTGCTGTTCGTCTATAAGAGGCTTGTTCTCACATAAGAGCAAGGCCACAGTCACAAATGTTATATCATGTGTAAATGACTCATCTGTGACTAATGTGAGCTTTATTCATGATCTCACGAGTACGTTCACCAAACAGCTTCTTATAACACATGGGAGTGAGTGAGGTGAGGTTTGACACTTAATGATTTCTTATGTGTTTGCAATAGAAAGCATGGCATATAGATTTAGTTGTTAAAATGAGGTACAGTGTGAGTTGAGGTGACTGACTTTACGTTTGCCTCTCCTAAAAACGCTGATCTTGTTTTATTGCCCCGGTAGAAGCATAACATTCTATTTAGATGTGTGCATGTGAGTGTCTGTCAGTGGAAAAACTGACGTCATGCGGTATTTAGAGGCCTGAAGAACAGGAAGCGAACAACCACTTCCTCTTTTGCAGAGGCGTTTTGCTCGGGCCCTTTTTTCACAGTAGAATTAGTTTCATTATTCTCAATGGCAATTCTCATTAGACTCTCATTGCTGTAATACAGTCGTTTGCATTTGAATCAGCATCGTTTAAAGGCAGTACAGTATGGGAACTCATTACAGCAATGCCAAACAACATTTACATGGAAAAAACTAATAAAATGTAAATAATTTTTAAATATGCAAATATGCTGGTCACAAGTCTGGAATGATTATGATTTTTTTTATATTTCTGAAAGAAATCTCATACTCACCGACGCTAAAAACAGTATGAATTATTCACAAAATCAAATATATCACTATTTATTTTATGCTGCTTTACATTTATTACTACATTATTTTGTGATAATTAAGATTTTGTTTGTTTTTGAAAGATATCTATTATGCAAGTATTGATTATTAAAACGTGCATAATAGATATCTTTATAATTATTGTAATTATGTATTCGATATATTTATAAAAAAGTATATATTTTATGCTGATTTACATTATTATTACTCCGTAATTAAGAAATTGTAATGTTTTTCAAAGACATCTTTTATGCTCACATTATCAGTAAAACAATATTTTAATACATTTTATGCTGGTTTACACTTATTGCATTATTAATAATTAAGATTTGTAAAAATGTTTAAAAAAAAACGCTCGGACCACAAAAGCTGCATTTATTTACAGTGAAACAGTATTGTGAACTACTATAAAATTAAATATTATCAAAATTAAAAATGTATTAAACTTTAAAAATGTTAACAATATTATTATTAATAAAACTGTATTACCAACACTTCATTTTACTTACATGCATGCATAAACAGGAGATTTTAGGAGGTAAATACATAGGAATACAATCATGACAACAAAAACATTTTCTTTTTCCAAATTTAATGACATATTTTTATTTATTTATTTTATTTATGTGGCATGTTTTGTTTTTTCTCCCCCCCAGCCATAAAAACTTTTGGACTTCTGATGATGGACCTGTACGCCTGATTAAAACTGGATCTGAATGAAGTTGAATCTTCTCTGAGACATTGATTCAGAGTCCATGAACATCTTGCTCAGCATCAGTGTTGTTCAGATGGTCAAACCTGCTACACGTGACAGAGATGCTGTCAACAATCTCCCCACAAACCATCTGTCTGCTGTCTACATCTATTCATACAGTTCACTGTGACGAGAGAAACGGTCAGAAAAGTGATGATTTTAGGCTTTTCATCTATTTTGAACGGCAGAAATCATGACATATTTCACAACAAAGAACAATTCAAAACAAAAACTATAAGTACAGCGCATAATTTATATTACCTAGTTGAAATACTAGGATAAAAGAAGTTAAATCACAGTTTTAATTCTGAAAAAAAAAAAAATTTTTATTATTTTTTTTAATTATCTAAATTATTTAAATAAAATCATTTTTCATTGTTTTCTTATTTTCACCATATGTGACCCTGGAGCACAAAATCAGTCTTAAGTGTCAATTTTTCAAAAAAAAAAAAGCTGAATGAATAATCTTTCCATTGATGTTTGGTTTGTTAGGATAGGACAATATTTGGCTGAGATACAACTATTTGAAAATCTGGAATCTGAGGGTGCAAAACAATCTAAATATCGAGAAAATCATCTTTAAAGTTGTTCAAATGAAGTTCTTAGCAATGCATATTACTAATCAAAAATTAAGTTCTGATATATTTACGGTAGGAAATTTACTAAATATCTTCATGGAACATGATCTTTACTTAATATCCTAATGATTTTTGGCATAAAAGATAAATCTATAATTTTGACCCATACAATGTATTGTTGGCTATTGCTACAAATATACCCCAGCGACTTAACACTGCTTTTGTGCTCCAGGGCCACATATTTAGTGTACTCTTAACCAGTTTTTTTCTTGCTAAAATAAAAACCGTGTTTAACTTGTACACTCTAAAGATGTTTAAACAACACTCTAAAAAATGCTGGGTTGTTTCAACCCAACTTTGGGTCAAATATGGACTAACCCAACCATTGGGTTAAAAATGTAATTGAAAAATGTAACCCAATGGCTGGGTTCGTCCATATTTGACCCAAAGTTGGGTTGAAACAACCCAGCATTTTTTAGAATGAAGTTACAAAATACTTCTGAATGAGAAAATGTAATTATATATATATATAAATGACATTTAGATTTACTGTTTTTCATTTCTTTATTTAATAAAAAACATGAACTCGACAGGAGAAAATCCACTAGTATCATCTCAAAAGCTGCTGAAAATGATTAGATTTGGACAAATATGAAATGTTCATCTAACTGCAGGCAGGCTGTGGTTCCTGGAAAGCAGCAGGTTTGAGAAACGCAGCGTTTGCGCTCCCTGCTGGACACAATCAAGACCGACGGTCAGTCCTTCATTCACAGCCACTGAAGAAAATCTCAGGTGTACACACACAAGTCAAACATTCTCAGCGAAAAATCTAGAAAATCTAACATTTACACACTTCTTATCAAATGTACTCGGACTTCTTAGTCATCGAGAGTCTTCTTTTTCATTCCTTCTCCCTGAGTGATATATAAAAAGAATGCAATTAACATCAAGCATGCGTAACGTGAAAATCACATATTTAACAAATCATACAAACAAACAAAACAGGGTTTACTTCATTTCAGGAATCATCTGCAACACATTACAGACGCCTCGTAGTTTTCTTTCTACTAAGGGAAGTGAAAGTTTCTGCAGATCAGAAATAATAATCATGCACTTATTGTTTACACCCGTCTCTCTCGAGCATCAGAAGCTGGGCGTCCTCGAGCGAGTTTTCCTCCTGATGCAGCTTCAGTAGTGTAAGGAAAGCCAGAGCCATCTCCTGACGCCCCACTCCTTCTTCACAGCGTCCATGCACTTTCTGAATCAACATCACGAGAAACAACAGCACTGAGAGCACTGCTTGTCGGTAGCAGATTTCCCAGAATAAAAGTCACATTTATCATCAGAATCATGCTGGGACTTCCTAATAAGCCATTTATAATTCCTTAGAAATGTATCTAATCCGATTTATAGAATGAAAATAATTGTGTACGTAACTCTTCTTATTGGGTGGCCATTTGATTTTTTTTATTAATGTGACAAAATAAGTTACAATTTGAACAAGATATAACAGTGTATGTGTTCCTTACTTTTATTATTATTATTATTACTACTACCACTCTGTGAATAAAGAGAGATCAGACTATACTTTAAAACAGTTCTATTATACGGTCCTACGCTAATTTTTCTCTGTTTGTCATGGGATTGGCATCCCGAGGAACCTAGGAATTACACAAGCTTCAGTCTGGATCCAACCCTTAAAAGATCTGAGATGACCAAACCCTGAACCAACATACAAAACTCCCAAATTTTGCTATAAATTTGATTGCTGTCGATAGTGTTCACAGTTGAGTGCATGTCATTGACTAACTACATGATTTTTACTGTATGTTACTTTCTGCCATATTATGGACATCACTGTTACATAGTCGCCACTGATAAGCTGCTTCTAAATATAATGTAGAAACTTTCATTTTCTGTGAAGCTGCTTTGCGACGATTTGTATCGTGAAAAGCGTATACAAATAAACTTGAATTGAATTAATAATGGATTTGTTTCTTACAAACACGCATCTTTTGGCTTCTCCAGATGTTAACTGATGGACTGGAGTGGTGTGGATTACTTGTGGATTACAGTGATGTTTTTATCAGCTGTTTGGACTCTCATTCTGACGGCACCCATTCACTGCAGAGCAATTTTCATTTTTGGGTCACTCAATACACTCACTCACACCTGCTTGAGTTCCCTAGACCGCATAAACGCTCAATAAATATGATGAGATATCATCAGGACATCATCTCTGGGGTCTGGATGAGACTGGTGGAGAAGAACGGTTTATCGCTTCGTGATTTCTGCCCTCATCCTCTGGAGAATCCGCGGCCGCTGCTGCGATATTGAGCTCAGTCTCTATATCAGTGGTTCCCAAACCTGTCCTGGAGGACCCCCTGCCCTGTAAATTTTGTATGTATCCCTAATCAGACACCCAATTTAGTTATTGCAGTCTCTACTAATGAGCTGATGAGTGGAATCAGGTGTGTTAGATAAAGGAGACATACAAAAGGTGCAGGGCAGGGGGGCCTCCAGGACAGGTTTGGGAACCACTGCTCTATATCATCCATATTGCGCTGCTTCACGGAGACTTGGAGACTTGATACTGGAAAGTATAACGAAGACCTTATGATTAAAATAGGTTATAAACAGCACTCAATAAACGCGGTTTGATTCGTATGTATAAATAAGCTGAATAAATAAGCTTAACATTTATGTATGGTTTGTTAGGATAGGACAATTATTTAAAAATCTGGAATCTGAGGGTGCAAAAAAAATCAAAATATTGAGGATATATAAATATTAAATATAAATATTTGAGCCTTTAAAGTTGTCCAAATGAAGGCCTTAGCAATACATCTTACTAATCAAAAATTAAGTTTTAATATATTTACAGTATGAAATGTACAAAATATCTTCATGGAACATGATCTTTACTTAATATCCTAATGATTTTTGGCATAAAAGAAAAATGGATAATTTTGACCCATACAATGTGTTGTTGGCTATTGCTACAAATAGTGCATTGCATTAAATGATGAATTTAAATGTAAAGTGGGACCAGAACAATTAAATAAGACTAAATAAAAAAATAAAATAAAAAATAAGTAGTAATAATAACAATAATAATGTGGTATTATATTATGTAGCTACAGATTTGTGCATTATTTACAAGATTATTTTTTAATATTATTTTTACAATATTATTTATAAGATGTGCGATCTGTGCTGATTCTAAGCACAAGATGTTTTAACTTATGTGAAAACAGATTAATTTATGTGAAAGCACGTTAACTTATGAAAACAATGTTTCTGACATTCAAACCATCTAGTTTTTTAAATGTTGAGGGAAAATCATAATGGGAACATCACTTTTGAATGTTCTCTGAACGTTTTGAAACAATTTACAAAAAAAGTTTAGTTACACTTAAACAGAAATAAAAATATTGAGAACATTATTGAGATCAGATCATGCAGAACGGACGATATAATTGTTCAGTAGAGTTCAGAATGGGTTTTATTTATTGATTTATTATTTATTGATTTTTTTATTTCAAAACCATCAAGATACCAGACATTTCTATCCAATATATTAAATATTCCTTTAAAAACAGACAAACAAACATATTACATAAAACATTTGGTAAGGTTTCCCTTTATTCATTTTTTGTTTATAAATGAGAAAGATAATTAGTGAATTTATATATATATATATATATATATATATATATATTGTAAGTTTATTTATTGATTTATGTATTTTTATTACTGAATTATTTTGATATTGATATAATTAGTTTTTATTTCCATCCAAAAACACAAATATATCTTAAACATTTTTTTTTACAATAGACATGATATATTTCAGCAATGACATAAAAAGGTTTGTAAGTTTTGCCTTTATTAATTTTTGTTTATATGTGAAAATGCCTTTCCCCCTTTAATTACAATTCTAAATAAATTAATTCTATCTATCTATCTATCTATCTATCTATCGATCTATCGATCTATCTGTCTATCTATCTATCTATCTATCTATCTATCTATCTATCTGTCTATCTGTCTATCTATCTATCTATCTATCTATCTATCTATCTATCTGTCTATCTGTCTATCTATCTATCTATCTATCTATCTATCTATCTATCTGTCTATCTGTCTATCTATCTATCTATCTATC